CTCTAGAATCATGGTGTACTAATACCACAATAAAGCACTCTAGAATCGTGGTGTACTAATACCACAAATCAGGCACGTACACACAGCCTGTGGAAGCACTGTTACTGTGACTATTTTAAATTTTATCAGATAATTCTAATAATATCTCTATCAATTTGATTGATGCCTCTGTTAGGAGGTCTTTTCACACTAATCTGAGGTCTTCCTGGCCTTTGGTGGGAGTGGTTTTTTTTTTTCACTGAAACCTGAGGACATTTTCATAATCTGTCATGAGACTTTGACTCTTATTTTAATTAGACTTTTATAGAATATATATACAACATAAAACCAGGCATGGTGGTGCACATCTTAATCCCAGCACTCTGATCTCTGAGTTCAAGGCCACACTGGTCTACAGAGTGAGTTCCAGGACAACCAGGACTACATAGAGAAACCCTATGCAGAAAAAAAGAAAGAAAAAGAAAAGATATGCATAACACAGATGTATCACCTTAACTCTGGCCTTAAGCATATCCACTGGGTTCTTCATCATGAGTATCCATTTGGAGAACCTTTCATTATAACATCACCAAACAGATACTCTGCTCTCAGTAAACATAGTATCCATTCCTCTGTGCTGGGATAGCGCAGTGCTTAAGAGCTCTATCCATTCCTCTGTGCTGGGATAGCGCAGTGCTTAAGAGCTCTATCCATTCCTCTGTGCTGGGATAGCGCAGTGGTTAAGAGCTCTTGTTCTTAACTAGAATCTGATTAGTTCCCTGCACCCACCATATGGCAACTTGCAACCATCTGCAACTCCAGTTCTAGGATGCTCATGATACACAGACATGCATGTAAGCAAGATACTCATAGACATAAAATAAATAACTATCCAGTCTTCCTTCTGCCCAACACCTGGTGCCCTCCAGCCTAGTTTTGTTCTCTGTATGCCTGCCTCTTTAGGTAACTCACATAAACAAATCTCACAATATTTGTCCTTTCAAAAAAATGTATCCTGGCTTGTTTCACTTCTCATAGTGTTTTCAAGATTCATTCATGTTATAACTATATGTCAGAATTCCAATCCTTTTTATGGATGAATACTATTTTAATATATATGTGTACTGATCCAATATATATGTATACTATTCTAACATACATGTATACAATTCCAATATATATGCACAATATTCCAATATATATAGTCTATATTTTATTTATATACATTTATACCATATTTATTGGTAAACCTATAGATTTTAATCACACAATCCTCCACCATTCCTATTATCTAATAAAAATGTTATTATGTATTAAGAAATTAGTTACATAAGTGCTTGTTATTTTTTAATACATCAAGCAATAAACTACAAGCTTCTGTGGTAAATTATAAATTTTGTTTATTAGGGAGAAACTTAAAGAAAATGTATTTATAATATTCTTTTTCCTCAATAAATTCTAATTTTCTCTTTACTGAACTAATAAGACTCCATTATTTTTATATCTTTATTTAGAGAGAGCATGTTTATGTATGTGTGTGTGCGTGTGCACATGTGTGTGTGTGTGTCTGCACACATATCATAGCACGTGTGTGGAGGTCAGAGAACCATTTCTGAGAGTCAGTTCTCTCCTCCCATCAGTACTTCTATCCCTTTAGCCAAATCGTCAGCACCACTATGCACTTTACATTGGTTTCTGCTGTACATTTCTCTCAGCTGGATCAAGATGAAAATCATATGTTATCATCTGTAAGTAAGCCAGATGTCATTCAATAAAATACGAACCCATCTTTACTTACAAAGGACTCTTCATACATCAAACTGCCCAACTTTGCTTTCTTTTACTTTGATAAAACACTGTTCAAAAGCATCTTAGGGAAGGAAAGGGTTTATTTTGCTTTCATGGAGGGAAGTCAAGGTCCTCAAGGCATGAGCCTAGAGACAGGAACTGAAGCAGAGACCAAGGTACGATGTTTACTGGCTTGCTTTCCAACCTGGTTGTTTTATACAGCCCAGGCCCCACCTGCCTAGGAATGGTGCCACCCACAGTAGGCTGGGCCTCTTATATCAATTGGCAATTAAGACAGTGCCCCACAGGCATGTCCCCCAGCCCATCCAGTGAGCTAGCTTGACTTGAACTTCCCTCATACCAGCGACTCTTTGTCTGTCAGGTTGACCCAACACTAAACAGCACAAAGATGGACAAGCTCCACCTCAGCCAGCTCTGGCTTCTTGTCAATGAACTGTGTTCTGTTATATATGAGAAATCTTTGCAATGAACTGGACATTTTAGGTATTTTCTAATGCAGGCTTTACATTGATTCTTGGACATGTCAGTTCATGGTCAATTTGAATAATATTTAAATTATTTCTCTCTAGAAAAATCAAGAGCAGAAAAAGGAAAGAAAATGAACTTTGATTGGTCAATTTAGTTGTCTGTCATTCGTATTATATATTGAATTACGATAAATTACTGGTCACAGAAGGATAAAAGGCTTAAGTTTCCTCCAGAAAAGTATATAGACAAAGTTCTGTATGCCTTCTTTTTCTATAGCTCATGTATTAGTGCCGTATAAAGATACTATTTTGGGCACGACTTTTCTTCATTTCTTGTTTGTATCTTGGTCTCTTTGTAGGGCATATTACTTGGGAGTACAGCAGAACACTGCAAGTGCACCTCTCCCCATGTGTGAAACACAAATCTAAAGGGAGACATTACTGACAGGACGGACCCTCTGAAAGCACTTTCCTCACTTCTATAAATATCTCAGAGAAATTAAGTTCCCCGGGAACCTCAAATTGGTCAGGGAAACAGATGTTTGAATTCTTCCGAGCTAGTACAGGCAGCAACAAGAATCCAGCGTTATGTCAAAGAACTTGTCTGACTGTGTGTTTGGAGTATCTGAAGCTATTTAAACTGTTCCTTCTTAGCACGAAATTTTCAAGTTTAGTTTTTGCTAAAAAAAACTTTATTCTTTTTTTGAATATGTTGATATGCATCAAGAACATTTGCATACCTAAAATTAGATAAATTACATTTGGCACATAATTGTTCGTCATTTGGCAACTATATACTTTGCTTTCTGCGTTAAGTATTTGTGTACATTTTGAATTCTCAACAAGATTATAAAGACCTGAAGATAAAAAAAAAAAACACCTACTTCGTAATTTTATTACCTACTATGACTAGTGTGGCAGTTTGCACAGAGTAGGTTTTCAAGAAATATTGGTAGGCTATAGAATTAGTGAATAATCATGCAAAAATTACTTAAAATTAACAGTAAAAAGAGGAGGCTATTTTATCCTTAATGATATTGTAATGAAGACTATTTTAAACTCTATGCAGCAATGATACACACAAATATTTAAACTATTTATGTGCCTCAACTTGACATAATTTCATGATAACTTGATGGCAATCACATTTAAATATATTAGAATATTTTTATAATAATGGTGTTCTAGAATAGCAACTTTAATAGCTAAGAAAACATGTTAATAATGGCCATTAGCCTGAAGGAAACAAAGAACACAAAACACTTTTTTTTTCAGAAATAAATATATAAGTTTAAGCATTCTGCTATAATATTTATGAACAAACCTTAAATTAAGATTTATAAAATGTAAACTATCAAATGTTTCAGCTAGGGGACAATTTGGACTACATTTTATAATTTTTCCCATGTACACAAGGGGCATTACTATTTAACAAGATATCTGCTATTGTCTCTGACTACTACTGTCTAAAATAGAAAGATGAACTCTGCTTGATGCAAGACCAAAGTCTTTCTACGAATGAGTCGGGGTCACCTGCTGGTGTCAGTCAGTGGATGAACAAAGGTTTCCTCTTACCTTCAGGACAGCTATAAATGGCACAAAGTTAGCCCTCTGGAGTCCGTTTTTATAGAGATCTGAAACAAACAAATGCATGAGCTTTTTACTTCGCGTCAGTCACAGGGGTGCTTTACCTGAGCCTGGCTAATGGAGCTTTCTACTGACTAAGTGAGTGCAATAAAAAAAAATCACAAAGTTATTTCTATTCATACAGTACAAGACTCACCACATTTTTAATAGAAGAAAAAGAATACCAGCTATGGAAAAACGACCAGCAGGAGGAAGATGCCACGGAGAATGAAAAGACATGCCTTCAGAATCCCAACCAATCACCCAGCGTAGGAAGATGACCTATAGAGAGGCACAGTGGCACATGCCTTTAGTCCCAGGCAAAGACAGAGAGACAGGCAGATCACGGAGCTAAAGTTACCCTGGTTCTACACAGAGAAAACCTGTCTCAAAAGTTCAAAAGCAAGGGGCTGGAGAAACAGCTTAGTGGTTAAGAGCACTGACTGCTCTTCCAGAGGTCCTGAGTTCAATTCCCAGCAGCCACATGGTGCCTCACAACTGTGATGGGATCTGATGCCCTCTTCTGGTGTGTCTGAGGACAGCAGCGGTGTACTTATACACATAAAATAAAAATAAATCTTAAACATCTAAAAGCACTTGGCCCTTGAACATAGAGGACTCCATCAGGAAAGGCTTCATTGTCTTTTCTTGTCCTATAAGTTCCTAGTGATTAATTAAAAGTCATGTAAAATTAACCATTTAAAAACCACATCATTAGGCAAAAACTACTGAGTTTGTACCAAGGTGACATATTTGATCGAAAGGTAAAGAAAGGCCCATGAATTGTCTTAATACTTTTTTTTTTTTTTGGTTTTTTGAGACAGGGTTTCTCTGTATGGTCCTGGCTGTCCTGGAGCTCACTCTGTAGGTCAGGCAGTCCTCGAACTCAGAAATCCGCCTGTCTCTGCCTCCCAAGTGCTGGGATTAAAGGCATGTGCCACCACCGCCCAGCGTGAATTGTCTTAAAAGCCCAAATGCTCTTCTTAATAACCTAAGACATCAGGTAATTATATCACAGGCAATATTTTCTCACTTAGATACTTTGCATCATATGTATGTGTCGCTATGAATGTATGCTTATACAAAACAGAGATACATAAAAACACTTATTATCAAAAGCAAACAAAAAGAAAATGGCAGCACACTTTTAGGATTTTATACTTGTCTTTTAAAGGAAGAAGACTCTTGCCAAACAGTGTGACACACATTTGTAACTGCAGTACTCAGGAGGCACAGATATGTAACTGCAGTACTCAGCACATATATGTAACTGTGGTCCTGAGGATGGCACACATATGTAACTTCACTCAGGAGGCAAATGCTCAGAAGGTTCCAGTTGAGGCCAGCCTGAGCTATAGAGAATTGCTTTGTCTTAAAAAATCAGAACAGGGGCTCACAGCCACTTGTAACTCTGACTCCAAAGCAGCCTACGACATATTCTGGCCTCTGTGGGTCCACATATACATGTACACACATGCACACACCACACACACGCACACACACACTAAAATAAGTCTTTAAAAGAGAAAGAGGGAGCTGTAGAGACAGCTCGGTTCCTAAGAGCACTTTCTGCTTTTACAGAGGATCAGATTTCCGTTCCCAGCAACAACGTCAGGCAGCTCACAACTGCCCGTACCCTCAAGTCCAAGAGATCTGATGCCTGCCTTTGGTATCTACAGGCACCTTCATGCACACGCTTATACACTCATGCTGAGACACATATGTAAATTAGAACAATATTAAAGGGAGACTTCTTTGAAAACAAATGTTTAAGAGATGTCTTTGACAGCCATTCTATTAAGCCACTGGATTTTTATAAACTGTAAAAAAGGAAACAGTAAAAGAGTCTTCTCCATAGCGAAGAATACAAATTAGATTGCACTGTACATCAGCTTTTTCAAGTATGGCATTATAGGATCTTTTCTATATTTCCTTGTTTAAAGAAAAATTGAAGCCGGGCTGTGGTGGTGCATGCCTTTAATCCCAGCACTTGGGAGGCAGAGGCAGGTGGATTTCTGAGTTCGAGGACAGCCTGGTCTACAGAGTGAGTTCCAGGACAGCCAGGGCTACACAGAGAAACCCTGTCTCGAAAAACCAGAAAAAAAAGAAAAAAAAAGAAAAAGAAAAATTGATAACCGAGATAGATTTCAACTGTCTTATTTTTATGAAATAAAATGGTCATTAGAAAACATTTACTCTTCTTAGAACTACTAATCATGGCATTATTATAGTGAAGGGAGGGCTTGCATATGCTCTGTGGTGTTTAAGGAGAGGCTTTGTTTCACTTACACCTAGCATTTTGATTTAGGAACATTACAAAGGTTAGATGAGGCTGACTAGGTTGCGAGGATGTTCAGTTCAACATGACATCTCTTCTACACCAAAGCCCATACCTCTGCTGAGTAACACGGATAAAGTGCAGGACATGGGTTTAAAACTCAGTATTCCACAGTTTTCACCACCTGCAAAAGCTGCTGGTGAAGGTGCATAAAAATACGGGGGGTTGAAGGGGGGCTGTCTCAGTGGTAAAGTGTTTCCTAGCATGCATGAGGCCCAAGGTTCAATCCCCAGACCCCGCTCACAGGAAGCAAAACAACAGATAGGAAATAAGGAAAGGAAAAGGAAGAATTTTTCAAACTCAGTCCATATTCTAGCGGCTTCATTCATAAACGAAGAAGCAAAACAAACCAACAACTTCTTAAGCGTTGTCTGTAACATCCCCAACCTGGAAGCAACCCAAATGTGCAGCCTGGGCGAGCAGAAACAAGTCCCGTGTGTCTGCATAATGAAATACCAGTCTGCAATAAAAAAGATAAACTACGTGGACAACAGGCAAACCTCAAAAAGAACCAGACCCAAAACAATATATACCGGGTAGCTCTCTTGATAAAAAACTCCAGCAAGGACAAAAGCAGCTTTGCTGTTGCCTGGGGAAGGAGGACACGGCCAGCAGTGAGTTATGACAAAACGACACAGGAAAGTGTGGGGAGAAACAGAAATATCAGCTACGTGGTTGTGGAGATAGTTTCAATGATGACTTTAACTTCCTATTTTTTAGAATGTATGAGTACTATATTTACAAGACACACACACACACACACATATGTATCTATAGTTTTTAAATGTACCATTCCTGTGACCCTCCCTGCCCCCTGGGATCATCAGTCCAAGAGGACAAAGGGAACAGAGCCGACTAGGGGTCACAGGAAGCCCTGTAAATACAGTAAGGTAATAACCTCATACCAGGACTGGGGTGAGAATATCCAGGATGGGTAAGGACAATGTCTGAAGGCTTAAGGTAAGGAAATGCCTCATTAGCATGGGGGAAGTGTCAGGAATCTCAGGTTCCAGCTAAACAGGTTCCTATCAGGAGAAAGGAAGTTGAACCGGTAATCTTAATCTAGACTGAGACATTCTGCAGGTAGCAGCATGTGGGGGTTTTATAACTCCCCAGACAAGGTCAAAGGCGGGGGATCCCAGCCATATTGTGCAGAGTTCAGAGGGCTGTCTTCACAATGGTACACTTAACTATCAGGGCAACACATTTCTATTATATATTAGAAATCCATTTAAAACCATATCCGGCATTAGTGAACATCTCTGAGCACAACAGACTGGAACAAGGCCAAGGTGTTGTTTTAAGATACTTTTGTTTTTGCTTTTTTGCTTTTTTTGGGGGGGGTGGGAGACAGGATCTATCTATACACCCCTGGTTGACTGTCCTGGAATTCACCATGCAAAACAAGTTGACCTAAACTCATGGAGATCTACCTGCCTCTGCCTGAGTGGTCCTGGAATTAAAGCCTACACCACCACATCTGTTTTATCTTTTTTTTTTTTAATGATATAGGGGGCTTCCCTGTGCAGCTGACACACAGGTGTGTCGGAATTTGAGACCAATGAAAGCAGCAGAAGTTCACTTGTTCTTGACAAAAAGATTTCCACTCATCAGCAAAGTTAAAGCAAAATGACAATGGCTGTTAAGGCTTACAGATTTAATGTCTCAAAGGGTTAAGCTGTTAAACTGTGCCTTTACAAAAACATGTGATTCAAAACACTATGCTCTGAGAGGCATTTGCTAAACAGAACCCCAAGCAGAAATCAGTTGGCTTGAAAATCTTCAGGCTTTTATGGACCATGTAATGGAAGAGGGGCTGTAATCATCAAATTGAAGAGTTTCTCTACAATTCAAATATTATGCTAATTGCAATACAATAGATCCATCTCCTGAAATGTTATTTAGCTACAAAGTTTTTCACATTTAGTTTTAACTTTCTTATAAGAAGGCTAGGCTGACTCCATGACAGGCTCCACACTGGCAGTTCAGGAGACTAGGCCTATATCTCTGTTTCCAAGAACTGGGCAAGTCCAGGCAAATCCAGGCCTCAGAAGCTGCCCCACCACCTCAACTGAGGCAAGGACAATGGGTCAAAAGCAGTTTCCAGACTTCCCCAGCAACAGTTTCCAGCCTCCTGCCACTCCCTATCCCCCCCCCTCCCGAACAATGGTTCTGGAATGTCTGTAGAGATAGAGCCAAGGTTAAGATATAGGTCACCTACCCCTCCAAGAATTCCCCTAAAGTGCTTTCAATCAGGCCTGCAAGCTCACGCTGAGGTCTCTCTGTCTTTGTAGATGTTGGACCCAGCAGGCCGGACTTTTGCAGAGTAAAGCACTCTTGTGTTCACATACTGTTTGAGTCTGGGGTATCACTCTTCAGTGAACCATGGACCCTCACACTTAGAGGCAAAGGTTTCTATTACATTTATGTCAACAATTGCTGTTGTTTACTAAATATCAGTTAAGATTTGCTTGCTTTTGCCTGTGGTAGTTTCAATGATTCTGAACAGAGCTAAATGAACACTTAGTTGTATAAAGACAGTGGAGTGGGATTATGGGAAACCCATTTGTAGAGACTAGAATGAAGGCCTCCAAACTCTCCAGAGTGAAGAACAGTAATAACACTGAGAGGCAAAATGTATTCAGAGTGTTAGTATTCTGCCTAAACTCC